TTAATATGGTGGTGGTGGAGATATGATGATGGTAATCATGAAGAAAATATTATTAATATGGTGGTGGTGGAGGTATGATGATGGTAATCATGTAGAAAATATTATTAATATGGTGGTGGTGGAGATATGATGATGGTAATCATGAAGAAAATATTATTAATATGGTGGTGGTGGAGATATGATGATGGTAATCATGTAGAAAATATTATTAATATGGTGGTGGTGGAGATATGATGATGGTAATCATGTAGAAAATATTATTAATATGGTGGTGGTGGAGATATGATGATGGTAATCATGTAGAAAATATTATTAATATGGTGGTGGTGGAGATATGATGATGGTAATCATGAAGAAAATATTATTAATATGGTGGTGGTGGAGATATGATGATGGTAATCATGTAGAAAATATTATTAATATGGTGGTGGTGGAGATATGATGATGGTAATCATGAAGAAAATATTATTAATATGGTGGTGGTGGAGATATGATGATGGTAATCATGAAGAAAATATTAATATGGTGGTGGTGGAGATATGATGATGGTAATCATGTAGAAAATATTACTGTTGTAATGGTGATATGATAATGTTAATTATGTAGAAAATATTACTAATATGATGGTGGTGGTGGAGATATCATAATGGCAATCATAGAGAAAATATTACTAATATGGTGGTGGTGGTGGTAGAGATATGGTAATGGTAATCATGAAGAAAGTTTTACTAATATGATAGTGGCTGTGGTGGTGGTGGTTGAGATAAGATAATGGTAATCATGAGGAAAATATTACTATTGTGGTGGTGGTGATATTGGATATTAATATTAACATTAAATATTATTATTGTGATGGTGGTGGTGGGGGTGGAGAGATGATAATGGCAATCATATAGAAAATATTAATATAGTGGTGGTGGAGATATGATAATGGTGATCATGAAATAAATATTGCTAATATGATGGTGATGGTTGTTGTGGTGGTGGTGGTGGTTGAGATATGATAATGGTAATCATGAAGATCATTACCAATATGAAGTTGGTAGTGGAAGTATGATAATAATAATCATGGAGAAAATACTAATACTAATATGGTGGTGTTGGTATTGGTGGAAGTGTTGGCATATATTGGTTAATGATACTAATGATGAAACTATTAATAATACTGTAGTGTTGGTGATAAAATAATGATAATTATGTAGAAAATAGTGTGGGTGGTGGAGGTGAAGGTATGATAGTGATAAAGGCGTTGGTTAGATCCAGTGACAGGACTCAAAGAGTGTGAGTTCAATACCCGGTTAAGGCAGTGGAGAACTTTCAGAGGGAAATTAGCAGGAGATAACTAATAACTGACATCCATCAAACATGGCACGTGTAACTAGAACAGTCTACCCCAGTGAGCGAAATAAAGGGTTCAGTTCGAAATTCCAACCACCTGACGAAGGCCGGAGAGTGCAATGGCCGAAACGTTGTGATAAATATGGCGACAAAGATGAGGACAATAGTCTGAATAATGTAAATAATGTACATAATACCTCATCTCAAAAATATGATAATAATAATCATAAAGACTATGAATAATATTATGGTGGTGGACAGATGATGATAAACCTAGCCAGAAGGTTCTATAAGTTGTGATCAATTTGTCAGATTGCAGACATGGCTCTCTCTCAACTAATGCCTTGTTGAAAATAAAAGAAAAAATCAAAAATAGTAAAGTACCAGGACCTTGCTCAAGAACTGAAGAAGCTGTAAAACTGACAGGTCTGTGGTGTAACCATTACAATTAGAACACTTTTGGAACATTGTCCAAAAATACTTGGGTCAAAATTGAGGGAATTAAAGATATGTGAGATTAGTGATTCTTCACAACTTACATCATTGCTAAAGTCTGCAAGGATACTGAGAAACCTGATGGAGAGATGAAGAGACATGATCTGACTTGATCTTTTTCTGTTTTTTATTCACAATATCATTGCTGGTTTCTCTTTTGTCGTCATATCTTTTAATCATTGTGTTACTACCGAGCAACTTCCATACCATTTTTTGGAATAAGAACATCCACTTAGCAGTACTGATCTTCCAAGTAATGTATGAAAGATTGTTTTGGGTTACATGATACCAATAAATGGGTAATAATCCTTGATATGACAATGATTCATGTTTTTTCTGAAAAGTGTAAGTGTGAAATGAACATGACAGTAAGAAGAAGGAATTAGGAAAAAGAAAAATATAAGCAGAAGGAGGATAAAGAAAGAAAGCTGAAAGAAGAAAAAGAAGGAGAGACAAAAGAAAGACAAAAAAGAAAAATAGAAAGAAGGAAAATAGATGAAGATAGGAAGTGGAAAAAAACAAGCAGAATGAGGAAAAAAAGAATGCAGAATGAAGAAGAAAGATGGAATGCAGACAGAAGAATGAAGAAGAAACAGGAAGAAGAACAAATTAAACAGAATGAGAAAATAGAGGAAAGCAGAATGAAGAAGAAAAGATGGAATGTAGGAAGAAGGAAAAAGAAGAAATAGAAAGAAGAAAAAAATAAACAGAATGAGGAAAAAGAAAAAAGGCAGAAAGGAAAAAGATGGAAATCAAAAAGAAGAAAGAAATTTGGTAGAATGAGGAAACAAAGAAAAACAGAATGAAGAAGAAAAAAAAAAAAATCAAAGAAGAAAAATGTTAAGCATGATAAGGAAAAAAAAAAAAAAAAACAAAAAAGATGGAAATCAAAAAGAAGAAAGAAATTTGGTAGAATGAGGAAACAAAGAAAAACAGAATGAAGAAGAAAAAAGAAAAAATCAAAGAAGAAAAATGTTAAGCATGATAAGGAAAAAAGGCAAAAAACAAAGAAAAAAGATGGAAATCAAAAAGAAGAAAGAAATTTGGTAGAATGAGGAAACAAAGAAAAACAGAATGAAGAAGAAAAAAGAAAAAAATCGAAGAAGAAAAAAGTTAAGCATGATAAGGAAAAAAGGCAAAAAACAAAGAAAAAAGATGGAAATCAAAAAGAAGAAAGAAATTTGGTAGAATAAGCAAACAAAGAAAAGCAGAATGAAGAAGAAAAAAGAAAAAAATCGAAGAAGAAAAAAGTTAAGCATGATAAGGAAAAAGGCAAAAAACAAAGAAAAAAGAAGGAAAGCAAAAAACGAAAAAAGTTAAGTAGAACCAAGAAAAAAAAGAAAGAAGCAAATCAGAAAGAAATAGAAAAAAACTCGTAAAAAGGAAAAAGTTAAATAGAATGAAGAAAATGAGGAAAGCTAAAAAAGGAAAATTCTGAAAAACATAAAGTAGAATAATAAGAGAGAAAAACCCCCCAAAAAACCCCGAAAAATATGAACATTTCTCTGAGATGCTCCAAGACACACATACAACTTACAATCAACCATTATTAAAGCTTTTATCTCATATTAAATGAAATCTCAAACACACCTTCAAGTCAGATCTAATGCATTTTCCTATATGATTAAGCATATAGATTCAAATTTGGATCTTTGCCACGGTGCTCGCAACTACCATCTTTAGATGAAATTAACAAAAACAGAAAAAAATTATAATAATTTTCAACTCTATCTGCAGGCCTTTAGATAATTTCACTAAAAACACACCTAATGTGTTACAAGCTGTAACAGAATTTTATGTGGAGATGTTATTTCAACTAATTAGGTTCAATGCATTATGATTGCATTGTCCAGGGCTTTCTTAATTTCTCATTGCTTATATCAAATAGAGGAAAAATGTTATGACAAATAATAAATTTCATATTATTCCACAAATTATGTAGACTACTATCCTCATCATAGGTTGCTGTGTTTTCATACTTTCTTGAGATATCCTATAGCACATCCCAAATAAATTTACCAATAGAAGACAATGATCATATTTTCTCTCCCTAGGTGAATATACTGAATTTTCTTGCCTTCTTGAGATATTCCATATCACATCCCAAATGAATCTACCAATAGAAGGCAACACTCCTTCTTTCTCTCCTGAGGCCAATACCCTGTGTTTTTGCTGTATACTGGGGGTCTCTTGTTTGACATTGTAACTTCTCTCGCTCATCTTCTCCGGGCTGGATGTGAAAATGTTTTTGGAGTCTAGAGATGAAAAGATTTCAACTAAAGGGATTTTAAACTTATCTATTTTATTAAACATATCAATGTGCACATTTTTAACTAGCCAGTGAGGTTGCTCTATCATCCCCCAGTGGGGAGCAAGTTCCCCAAGACATGAAATAACCATGTCTACTGTGTATGATATGATGTGTAAAACTTAACTATCTGAAATCACTTTCTATCTCTCTGACATTCCCACACTAGTTTTAACCAGTCAAAAATGACTTCCTCTGTTTTGTCTACCATCTGACCTTAAAAGTCAGCCTCAGAAAGTCTGAGCCAAAATACACTGCCACTAAAAATAATAGTCTGAAACTATTATTTAACATTTTATTGCCTTCCTGAGATATTCCATATCACATCCCAAAGAATCTACCAATAGAAGGCAATAATCCTGCTCTCTCTCCATAGGCCAATGTTCTATTTCCATGCCTTTCTGAGATATTCCATATCACATACCCAAACAAATCTATCAATAGAAGACAACAATCCTGCTCTCTCTTGCATGGCCAATGTATTGTGTTTTCATGCCTTCCTGAGATATTCCATACCACATCCCAAATTAATCTACTAATAAATGAGAATGATCTCACTTTCCCTCCTGAGGCCAATGTACTGATGATGAGATGCTGATGGCATAGGTATTCATAGTTGGGAAGAAATGACCTTGAACAGAAAATCAACCTCCTCTACCTTTTGTTCCAAGTTATACTATTCAAGACACCTTTCCAAAACGGAAACTTTGATTTGGAAATGGAATGAAAGCATTGAAACTGTCAGAGATTGCAGAGAAAAAACATTTTTTCAAATCTGTTCAAGTCTAATATCCCTATCACTGTATTATCTGCTACTATGAATGAGCTTAAAGCCTCTTCTTTGAATATTGCACAAAAGATGTTTGGTGAATATTCTTAATGTTTACTCATGATGTGTACAAAAAGTACTAATGCAGCTATACAAATATCTTGTCAACTTACCATTTCAGTGGAATGAAATCTAGATTAATTACCAGATTTTAGTTACCTCTGAAAATGCCATGATCACATCAGGCTGAACATCTGTGAATCAATGTCTGTGAATATGTATATCAGTTTATAAACACATACACACACACACACACACACACACACACACATATATATATATATATATATATATATATATATATATATATATATGTGTGTGTGTGTGTGTGTGTGCAGATTGAATGTTACCAACCCTGAAGGCTCAAACAGCAGAATAGGAAAAGATCTACACAATTTCAAAATGGCAGAAGAGGTCAGTATCAGTTGGGCTTGTGTATCCAAGGTGGACCTTGACAGACCAAGCATCCAACATCCCAATGCATCCAGGTTTGCCAGATCTCCCTTGTGTCAATCCCCTTTGAGCTGCAAAAGAGGCACTGCTGGCTAAGTGTGTAGGCTTGCCCATCATGCAGAGTTGTCCACCAAAATCAAATTCATGTGAATGGCCTTGTCAAATTCTCTTTGACAAATCTTCAGGAATAGGCTGGGCCTTCATAGCCATCTCTGCCACTGGCACTGCCACCAGAGGGAATAAGGAGAGAGGATGGCGATCCCAATGCTCAGATGTGAGCTGACTACGACTATGTATACATGTGTATGTAGATGGGTACTGATCATTTGAGAATTCTATACCTCCTTCCAAATGAATTTACTGATTGAAGACAACAATGCTACTTTCCTTCCTGTGGCCAATGTTCTTTTTTAACTTTGGTTTTACATAGATCTTTATTGTTGTAACCTTAAAGAGGTTACAAGCAGATAAAGGTGGTACTCATGTGAAAGGAACAGCAACATGGCCATAGATGAAAAAAAGAGAGGTTTATTGTAAAAGAGAATACACTACTGAAAGACAAGGAATCAGTTATCAGGCTAGTAATTACCATAACAAGTCTGCCAGTTATATCCTGTGCTCACTATATATATATATATATACTAATATAGACAGTCCACATAGGTGATAAGGAATGTGGGACATTCCATTACAACACCTCCCCATGAACTAATTTTCCTCTGAAATTTTACTCAATACCTCTTCTTTTTGGGGTCAGGACATAACTGTTTCACTTTTTTCCTCTTTCTACTACTTTTCCGTCTCACCATTTATGTGGGAAATATTTTGAGGGAATTTTGATAAATATTTTACTAACTATAAACACATGTCAAAAACACTATATTACTTCACTAATCTTTATTAAATCCATTCCTAAAGAATTTAACATATGTTTATCTACTACAACCAGTGTTTACATAAAAACAACATCCCTAAATCTACATGTGGTTGTTGTGAGGGAGAATATTTACCTACAAGTTTGGACTTGTCTGTCTCACAAAAGACATAAAAATACTCCTACATCAAGAGGAGTAGCAGAAGGAGCAGTAGCAGCATTAGCCTTTGCTGAAACAGTTAGTCATTCATGGCAAAACATTCTCTTCTCTAGTTTCTGTTCTACATCACGTTTCCCTGTACCAAAAGGTAATAAACTTAAATAAACTTGTTAAATCAATTTGGTTTTCTATTATTGTTTTTGATAACTCAGTTACAACAGTGGTAAAACATCAAACATAAATAATATCTACTAGACATACTGTTGTAACCTAGAAAGGGTTACTGAATGTGGAATAACCAAAATGGAGGTTGGAAATGAAATGGTAATCTTTATAACATCAACAAAATACAATACTCGCCAGCGACGTGAAGTAGGTAAACCACTGCTAGTGGTGCACTACTTAGACAGCATATTAACAACCCCATTTACAATAGTGTCCAACATATTTATGAGGATTGGGACATACCTATTAGTGTTCATATGTATGGCATATATCACACACACACACACACACATATATATATATGAAGAAATATAGTCTTAAGATGTGCTATATTTATGGGATAAAGTGATCAATATCAGAGAGTAAATATGTGTGTCAACACTTAGAACGATTGCATCTAGCATGAAACAGACTGTCGCCTCTAAGTGTTGACTTCAATGTTCACTTTTATATTTACACATGCTCTGTCTCTGATATTGAGCACTTTATCCCATAAATATAGCACACCTTAAGACTATATTTCTTCATATATATGTTTATATATGTGTGTGTGCATGTATATATATATATATATATATATATATATATATATATATATAACACATACACACACACTTATGAATACACATTATCTTTTGAATTCTACATAGACAAACTAGAATTATGATACACTTACATACATGAAGCAAAATTTATGATTTTTTCAATTAGGCTTGGAATCTGTTAATTTTTTGAACTTCAAAGAGATGTGCCATCTCTCCTTGTGTTCAGAACATCATAAATTATGCTAACTTTGCTAAACTCATTAAATCCACGTGAAGCCTGATAAACCAATGAAAATCAAACAACATAAAAATAAAAAAACAGAATTTTATTCTTCTTTTTTATCCATATCTTATTCTCTGATGAAGCTTCAATAAAAATGAAACATATTAGATTGATAAACTTTTGATATTTGTTCTTTATCCTATCACACACACATATATATATATATATAGATATATGTGTGTGTGTGTATTTCTACATTTACAATACTATAAAATATATGATGTGATCTGCATATATATATATCTTGTACCTGACAAGATGGGTAACCAACGAAACTTAAGACTCACACAAAGCGTAGGTATATATGTATACATTAATATATATTTCTTAGCTCTGTCTAATCACATTGAAAACTATAATGTCTACACCTCTTGGCAAAATTTGGCAATTATTTATTTGCTTAGCAATGTATGCATGCCAGCATGTGTGTATATGGTTGCTAATATCTAGTTATTTCATTTACCTAACTCTCTCTGTCTTTGTCTGTCTGTCTATCTGTCTCTCTCTCTCTCTCTCTATATATATATATATATATATATATATATATATATATGGTAAATACAGATATGATAATTTGGCATTGAATCTGTGTCATCAGAAAAAGAATTTAATTTCAACAAAATATACATTAGTGAGACAAAATATTATTTGAGTTAAGTATGTAAAAGCTTGATTTGTTTTTACTTCATTTTAATTCAATTCAAATCAGTTTTATTCTAATTTTTTTATTGGTTTATACATACACATTGTTTCAGTTGCAATGTAGAAAGTAAGAACAGGTAATAAACTGACTGAAAAACTGTACAATATATAAATCTTAAAATACAGAAATAAATGATAAATATATATAAGTGAGTGGATATTAGTTGAAATCAAATTTTTATATTTAGTAGATTGAGACCTATTTGCCTTACTATTTTATTACTCACTTTCAGTTTCTTTATGCCTCATTCTGTTCATATCTATAGATATATATCATTCTCTTTCATTCTCTTCCTCAATCTTTCAATCTCATTTTGTTCATGTCTATCAATCTCTCTCATTCTCTTTCATTCTCTACCTCACTCTTTCTATCTCATTTTGTTCATGTCTATCAATCTCTCTCATTCTCTTTCATTCTCTACCTCACTCTTTCTATCTCATTTTGTTCATGTCTGTCAGTCTCTCACTTTTCTCTTTCATTCTCTACCTCACTCTTTCTATCTCATTTTGTTCATGTCTGTCAGTCTCTCACTTTCTCTTTCATTCTCTACCTCCTCTTTCTATCTCATTTTGTTCATGTCTGTCAGTCTCTCACTTTCTCTTTCATTCTCTACCTCCTCTTTTCTATCTCATTTTGTTCATGTCTGTCAGTCTCTCACTTTCTCTTTCATTCTCTACCTCCTCTTTCTATCTCATTTTGTTCATGTCTGTCAGTCTCTCACTTTTCTTTCATTCTCTACCTCACTCTTTCTATCTCATTTTGTTCATGTCTGTCAGTCTCTCACTTTCTCTTTCATTCTCTACCTCACTCTTTCTATCTCATTTTGTTCATGTCTGTCAGTCTCTCACTTTCTCTTTCATTCTCTACCTCACTCTTTCTATCTCATTTTGTTCATGTCTGTCAGTCTCTCACTTTCTCTTTCATTCTCTACCTCACTCTTTCTATCTCATTTTGTTCATGTCTGTCAGTCTCTCACTTTCTCTTTCATTCTCTACCTCACTCTTTCTATCTCATTTTGTTCATGTCTGTCAGTCTCTCACTTTCTCTTTCATTCTCTTCCTCAATCTTTCAATCTCATTTTGTTCATGTCTATCAATCTCTCTCATTCTCTTTCATTCTCTACCTCACTCTTTCTATCTCATTTTGTTCATGTCTGTTAGTCTCTCACTTTCTCTTTCATTCTCTACCTCAGTCTTTCTATCTCATTTTGTTCATGTCTGTCAGTCTCTCACTTTCTCTTTCATTCTCTTCCTCACTCTTTCTATCTCATTTTGTTCATGTCTGTCAGTCTCTCACTTTCTCTTTCATTCTCTACCTCACTCTTTCTATCTCATTTTGTTCATGTCTGTCAGTCTCTCTCTCTTTCATTCTCTTCCTCACTCTTTCTATTTAGTTCTGTCCATTTCTATTGATTTCTCTTTTATTCTCTTCCAAACTCTTTCTATCTCATTCTGCTCATATCTATCAATTTCTCTTTTTATCTGTCATTCTTTTTTTCAATCTTTCTATCACATTCTGCTCATATCTATCGATCTCTCTCTTTATCTCTCACTCTTTTATTTTCTTTGTCATTCTTTCTATCTCATTCTGCTCATATCTATCAGTCTCTCTTTTTGTCTGTGACTCTCTTCACCCTTTCTATTTGATTCTGTTCACAGTAGAAGAAAACTACCATTCTTCTTTTTAGCTTCAGACTATTATTAAACAAGCCTGAAAATTTAAAAATCACATATTAATTCCTTTCTTCTTTTTTAAAATAGAGAACATTTGCTTTTCTTTGCAGAACATATTTGAAACAGAAATTTTGATAGATTGGCATTTTAAAAAATCTTCATATGAATGTTATAATTTCCATAAAGAAAAATGTAGTTTCTATTCTTGATTCTTTTTTTTTTTTTGAACCAATATAAGACTGTGACAATCATTTCTTTATTAAAATTTCCCATGATGCTCCAGTATACTCTCTGGACTTATCCATCATGGTTTAGCATGAGCCAAGAAAATAGAATGGAAAATATAGATTTCTTGCTTGCTACTGCCATGACAGTTCCTGGCAGTGGTAGCTGGAGCAGTAATTACAGAGACCAACAGTGTTATTACCATTCTCCAAGACTTGTATGCCTTTTATATTTCTGCAATCATATTCTGAAGAGTTTCTTTAGGGAATGCACTTTTCTTCTTTCACCATCGCATATTTGCTTGACTCCATTTTGTCTTACAAATAGTGACGACTGGACTATCACAGGTGATAATGTGTTGCTGGAGATATAGAGTGAATGGGGGGTGCCAAAAGAATGGTGGCCTTTCGTTACTAATCATGAAAATTCTTAAGGCCAATGAAAATGAAAATGTCTGGGTGAAGTTGAAATATGAGTCACAGCTAAAGTAGGGAATAAAGAGGGAACTTTACAAAATATGTCTTCATTTAAGCAGACACTTGATTCATATGTCCCTTCTTTCTTTCTCCCTCAGGAGCCATCTTTTGTTCTGAAATTCCTTAAGGGGGGGACAAACCCTCCTTGCTAAGAATAATTTAACCTTTTCTGTCTTCTCAAAATCAGGACTAGCTGCATATGTAGAAATTCTATGAGTGTTTATAACTAAGATTATCCATCATCTCATACTTTTCTCTTATTCTTTTCCTGTATCTTCACATTCTTTCCCTTATCCCCTCCAACGTTCATTGTACATAATCATCATTATCTGTCCCATGACCCAGTGTGGTTGTTGGGTGGAAGCACATCTGAGAATAGGACCATCTTTCTTCTCATATATTTGTTGCATGACAATATCTGGATTAAAATTTGGGGAGGTATTTATTCATGAATACCTAGAGGAGTCCATCCCTCTACAGGTTAACCCACAGCCAATATTCTTTGAATTGAAGGCTTGATTTGAAATCATACTGAAAACAATGGTTCGTGTTCAATCACCAAGACTAGAATTAGAATTAGTCAATAATTTAAATAACCTACAAAGGTTGGTAAACTAAATATTTTAAACTGCATCCTCTCTTTCACCATTCTTTTGCTCTATCTCTTCATGTTCTTTCAATCTGGTGCTACAAAATACCAACCAAAGAACTGTACCAAAGAACTCTGTCATATAACAGGAAGAACATCACTTGAGGACTTTTACTAATGGCAACAGCTATAATAGATATCACATGTAACTCAAAGAGAAAATAATGACATAAAGATGTTGACATTCCGCACCACTTCAAACAAAAGGTAAGGAAGGAAACCCCCATGAACACTGGAATGAGCAATAGCAGCTACTGGACTTGAGAAACCTATTTTCCTGAAAAATTGTTTTAAGAAAAAGATTTTATAAATTTCAACTAAAAACAGTACTGATTGCTTTGCTCAATGAATGGCAAATGTTTTCCTTAAATGAAACAGTTAATATTACCATGACTGCAAATATGTTTTATTAAATAGTATGGACATGGGATATCTTTTGAGTTTTTTAGAGAATATCTCTTGGTATCAAATAAGCCATGTAATGTTGGGTGAAAATATTTTTGCGGTTGAGTAGATTATCACATGACTAAAATACTTTTATGATTCAAGCCTCTCATGGTATTTATCTTTTTTCAGTTTTTATTAATATAGTTGTGACTTTTAAGTGCAATTCCTTTAATGAAATTGAGTCAAAGCCATGTAATCCTTCTGCCTAAATATCACAATTATATGTTTATTATTGTATTTCTCTCACCCTAAAATTGGCCTAGGAGCCACTTAAGGTAGAGGGTTAAAGGGTAGTTTATATGGATAGGAAGGAAAGATAATGTTTAACTCTAGACTTGAAAAGGGTAAGATTGTAGTGATCGGGAAAATGTCCTCTTGGGAATCTGTTCCACAGAGCAGTTGTTGTTGGGAAGAAGTTGTTCGAGTGGAACTTATTTCTCACCGATGGACTATGGAGGGAATGTGGGTGGTTTACCACCATGTAAGTGGCATGGTGGGTCCTAGCCATGAAGGTTAGAACTAGCAGAACCAAGGAGATTAGAACAGAGAGGGAGAGACAATTCATGTGAGATGGAATACAACCAATAAATAAGCTGAAACCATTCTTTGAAACAACTTTATAAGAAACAATAAAAAAAGGAAAGAAATGCATTTATGTGGTTTTATATAAAATTCCTGTACCTGAAAATGTATAATAGTTTGAGTCTGTTTTCAGGACAGAGAAATATGTACCTGCCTGCAGAAAGCTGTATTTGGAGTTGTTGCACTTAGAAGGGTCAAGGCTATTCCTAGATACATGCCTAATGACAAGGCTAAAGGAACTGGACAATTTGTTTTGTTACCTGTAGTAACGTATACAAATTAGATGGACAAGTATAAATAGAGAATAACTGGTGAACACAGGGTGGCTATGCCTAGCAAACCCAGTTGCTATTAAGGACATGGAGAACTGTACTATGACTACTGCTACACAGAGAGTTATGCAAAACATGACACTACCAATGAAGATGAATGTGAGACCTATGTTATATCTGACCTTTTGTCACATTTTGTTCTTGTGAGGATTGAACTGAACACAGAAAAACAGATTCATGCCATTACCATGGGCATTAATGATAAATGAACTTAAACTGTCCCAATTGAAGTTCAAACCGGGTTTAACATTAACTGCTACTCAACTCTCATTGAAAATGTGATGCAAATATTTTTTAAACAAAAAACAATATACCAAAAGAAAAACAGGATTAATAAAAGTATCTCCACCTCACCTGATCAAGAATGAAAATAAATAGGCCTTTATTTCTATTGGAACAAAATGTCTGTCTCTTTAATGTTTGTTCTGAAATTTAAAGTCAAGTTTGACCAATTAATCCTCTGTTATTAGTTAATTGTTGGCTCTGAGCAACATTCCATTTTTCTCTCTCCTCCTAATTCTTTTCTATTTTAAAAACACAACCCAAACAATGTGTACAAATAATTATTCTTTCTGCCATTCATATTGTTTAAGAAGGCATTTTTATTCAAGACATGTTGTCTGCTTTTTGAAGAAACCAACCCTCCTACCACCACTGCCTCTGCTTTAACACCATTATTCCCCCTTTTTCACTTGTTAATGATTCACTTTTAGAAGTGGGTCCAAATTATAATTTTGGCATTTCTTGCTTAAGGAAATTATAAAAATGATTTTTAAAAAAATTGCCTTCAAAGATGAAGCAATTTTGTTATTAATTTTGACTTGCTGTCTTTATTGAAAACTCAGATCATTTTACATTCTATGACAATTAAATAAACATCATGATTCAGAAATAAAATAGCTTCTGGTGATATTTGAAATCACATCCCTTATCCTTGTAAAGCTATCTTATACGGATGGCGCCTTACCAAAATTAGCCAAGGGGACCCCTCAACAAGTGCATTTCAAATTTAGTCATATTGCTACATTCTTCTTTAATAGATTTTTTTTTAAATAGAAATAGTAATAGACAATCTAGAATAATCAAATGAAACTATTTCTCATGTATTTTATTGTAAAAGAATATGTTCATTTTTGTAACTGGTGAATATTTTTCATGTCTGAAGTGACATGTTCGTATCATGACCAGATTCCAATTAAAGGAAACTGTTACCCATGTACATCATTAATGTAATAAAATGTTAATTTTTATAACTGGTGAATTTTTGTGTCTGAAGTTAAGAGGTGCTCTGAGGCATTTGTGATATTATCTCATCTTGTTTGTCAGAGTCTTCTAATTCCCACTAGGTGGCATTGTACAAAACAGTATAAAAGGAAATGGTGCAAAACTTCCCTTTTTTTTCTCCTTCTCTTTATCTGCCAGATGCCATAGTGACAAGACATGTCTTGTTTCCCTTCCTGGGGTTTTCTTTGTCCTTATGTAAACAACATATTGCATACAATGTACTACACTATCTCTGGTTAAAAAAAAACAAAAAAACTCATGCAGCCACAATAATATCTCCCCAACAAAATCACAAAAATATACCTCTATTCAATGCAAGAAAATACCTGAATTCAACAAAGTGGTCAATGACAGTCTTCTTCTTTTATGTGCCATCTCCCTTTAGCACATAGGCGATCATTGCCCTCCACATCTTCCTGTACCTTGTAGCTCTTAATAAGTTTTGTCATTGTTATTTCTCCCAAACCCTGTTCTACCATCCATTTAGTCAAGCTCATCAAGTATGTTATGCATTGCTTTCTTCTGTCCCTCTGTCCTGTGAGTATCATATTTTACAAGCCATCCTTCCTCATTACGTGTCCCAGTAATTTCAACTGCCTCTTCCTGATGTTAAGTATAAGTTTCCTTTTTGTTTCCATTCTCTCCAAAACTTTGTCGTTGCTCACATGTTCAGTTCATAGTATCCTCAGCATCTTTCTGTAGTACCACATTTCTGTTGCTTCAAGTCTCTTCTTCATCTTTGAAGAGATTGTTCAGCATTCACAGCCATCCAAGAGGACATATATTATATAACAGTTCAATACTCTTTTCTTTGTTTCTAACAAAATTTTTCAGTCTCTTAATACTTTGCTTAGCTTTTGGAATACATCTTTGGCCATCCCAATATATCTTTGGATTTCAGTTTCACACTTTCCGTCTGCTGTTAGAACACTTACCAGATATTTAAATGTCTGTAATTGTTTGATTTCAGTAATTTGTAATTTGCATTTTGGGTTTATCCTTTTGCTGATAACATGCATTCTGCCTTGTAGTTTATACTTAGTATTTTCCTCTCACTTTCCTTTGCTACCATTTGTAAGAGCTTTTCGTAACAATATTACTTCCTTTTATTAGTTTGAT